CATGTGTGTATCTCAGCTGCATTATGTGTAATTCATCATTTGTAAACAGAGTGTTCAAACACAGTGTGTTTGTGTGTGTGTGTGTGTGTGTGTGTGTGTGAGCGCGTGTGTGTGTGTGTGCATGGGAGTGTGTGCATGGGAGGAGGGGGACAGATTGAGTAAAACACAGTTGGAGTGTGTGAGGGAGCTACCGTAAGATATGACAGAACATTTGAGTTAAAATCTTGCACATTCTGCTTATTATAAACAGGTTAACTGCATCTAAGAGAAGATTTAAACAACAATGCTGTTTGAAAATGCCAATAAGCACAACTTGTAAAAATGAATTCACGACAGACTGCAGAACCGAGGCTCATGCAGCACGACGCTCCTTGTTATCCAGCGCCGCTCCTCACGGACGGCAGGCTTCATAAAGCTCACAACCCTAACAGGCACATGCTACAATAAGGCCCCGTCAGGGCAGCCTTTTAACAGGCAGCGTGTTCCATGACCTCAACAACCATAAATCACATGACGGGGGGGCAGGCGCAGGGTGTCGAGAGCTGAGCGGGGCATGCTTTGAGCGAAGTCTCTATGTTGTATAATCAATAGATATAAAAAGAAATGGCCTGACCGTTATTCTCTCCCTGCTACCCCTCTCTAATAAAATCCCAGTAATGCATATTTCATTTACTTTTATACTTATTGATTACCTGTACTCCAGTTAGTAAATCACGCGCCTATCGATCCCTCAATCGTAGCTCTGTCGGACAGCACATAACCAGCCATTTGCGGCCCTGATAAAGAGCTCAGGCATGGAACTCCCCACAGTAAATCTTTGCAAACTAACTTTTTAATTCCAAAATCGATCCCCCGCTTAAACGTTGCATTATTTCACGAGTCCCGCCTGCGGTATTAAAAGTAATACCCTGATGAATTTGGTCTTAATGTGTGGAGGTCCATCCCTCAATCTCTTCCCTCATTACACCGAGTCCGAAGCACCCCGGGGCCCCTGCAGCCTGGAGGGAGGCGAGGGCCCTTCAGGCTGCAGGGAGCTCAGAGGCAGAGCCAGGAGCCCACCGAGACCCTCAGCACAATGCTAATCAAACATGAGAATACCATCAGCTGGCTCATTAACCAAGCCAAAACACACCATTCATCTCAGAGCAGAACCCAAAGACTTTTAATAAGCATGTTACATGGCTCCGTGTAAAACTGGGGGAAGTGGTAAAAAATGCACAACACTGTTTTTATTATTCAACATCTGTTACTTCATCAGTTTATAACAGCAGGACAGATGTTGCCCAGTTGTTTTGTCCCTAAATATACAGAAACTGTGATGAGAAAACAAAGATTGACTCAGGGGCAATAAGCAATGAAAAAAACTAATAATACGTAATGAAGACGGCTAAAAACAACTCAATTCTGTCAAAGACACAAGGACACTGAGGGACAAGTCTCCAAAATTGATTTTTCAGGTCATATGAGACACTTTTAAATGCAGCGCAGTCCCTCAGGGTGCAGAGTAAAACAGCTCTGACACAGGGTCAATTGTAATTTTGGCGCCCACATCCAAAAGCAAATATATCAATTAAAAATAATAAATCAAAAGAGGAGTGAGGGGCCACAGTTACAAAATGGCCATCTATTTTCATTAGGGTACACGGTGCTTCAGGTGTGAGCAGGATCTTAAGATTAATAGAGGTATTCAAATGAATCAGAAAGGATTAGGGTCTCCAGGGAGCGTAATCAATAACTCCAAATCAATAATCAATAGGCCACTCACACCAATATACTAACTGCTGACACCGAGATCTCACAATTAAAATGAAAACTGGGGAAGAGAGTGGCGTAAGGCTATGATTTATCTCACAGCGCAAGTGTCATTTAGAAATAAATAAGTCAATAGATAAAAGCTGCCGCTGCCTGGCTCAGCTCAGGGAGGCAGTTATGCATTTTAACGCGCCCGCCGGCCCCGAGCATTACAGCCAAATCCCACAAAGCATGGCGTCTATTCACACGCCGATACGAGGATAAACAGCAAGCAACCTCAAACAGCCTTTATCACTTAACATCAAATCTCTGATTGTCGCCGTCAACTGGCGGCAAACAGGAGATGACAGCTTTTATTAATACAGTATCATTTCAACCTGGCCGCCATACAAGATTAATGCTTACACTCTGCCCACAGAGAAAACACTTTCTCTCAAGGGTGTTTGGAAACAAAGAAAAGTCAGATGTATGGGAGCTCAGCGCGAGAAATCGATCACGCGGGTTAGATGCTCGGAAAGAAATGAAAATATAGTGAAGTGAGATCAGGAGAGGGCGTTTTAAAGTTTGTTAGGCGCAGGCATGAGCAATTATACTATTCCTCATTGTAATGCAACACAATAAGTGTAACTGGTGTTGTGTCTGCATGTGAACGTGGGTTTTGGAGGAAGTTAGAGGAGGTGAACGGTGCCATGTGAGCAGAGCTGGGTCGTGAGGACAGAGCCTCCATCTCACTGGAGAGTGGATTTGAGCAGCTTGGGGAGATGGATTCAGCTCGTGCCGTCCAACGGGACACATCAGAAGCCCCTCTCGTCAATCCCCCCTCTCTCCCTCATTCATTTGGGAGTATGATTTATACTTTTTGAAGTGAAGGGTCTTGAATCCCACTATAAAGGAATTAAGAGGTCTCCCCTGAGTCCGCCATTCAAATGAGAGCATGGCAGGGATATGAGGGCTTTTTAATAGAGAGAAATTAGTATTCACAATGCCTCAAACTGGAATCTGAAGGAACCTTTCAGGTGGAGAAGAAAGGGCCAGTTTAGAAAAGAAAGCCCTAAGAAGTCGGGGGCTTTTCATAGCAGTCGTGTTTTTGCCCCTCATCAAGGAGTGCTGGAGCGCTCTGTGAACTAACCCAAGAGAGAGGGAGGACAAGGAGTGTGTGTGTGTGTGTGTGTGTGTGTGTGTGTGTGTGTGTGTGTGTGTGTGTGAAACCAAATTAAGAATGCACCATAAATAGGCCGAGTGGAAACAATACAATGAGGAGTCCCACAGTCTCCAGGCCAAGGGGGCTAAGCGGCTCCTCAAACGTCCCCCATGCAGATCCAACAGATCCAGGGATGACTGCGAGCGATGAGATGCTTTGACAAACATCTCTTGGATAAACCTCTTTATTTTATTTTTTGTGCAGTCCCAGAAATGCAGGGATTTGAAACTGCATTACAACTATGTCAACACATAGTAGTTCTCTTTGGGAACGCTGACCTTGAAAACTATTTCATTTTGAAGTTTTAGCTGCATCGAACTGTAGCTGTCTATTGTCACTTTGCCTTAGACTTTGGGACAGGGTTGACATCAACACTTATCTTCTGTTTATGTAGACCCTGGGGACCACTTTATCAGCTCAGAACACACTCAACGTTGTTTTATCAACTTAACTAGTTCTATAATAAATGCTAATAAACCCGGTTTGATGCTCATAACATTTTTCAGAAGTCTTGTACTTTGTCCGCACATATCGAATGTCCACGCGTAGGATGTTAAATGTGGATAATAAGCTTATTTCGTGTGATTACTATTTTTATGATAATGTCTGTATTTTGCCACCTTACTCAATGTGCATGCTTAGTTTGTACCAAGTTACCAATTCAATACTTTTTACAAATCCACGAAATGGTTATTATATTAACACAGCATTTGAGTCCGTGAAAGCCCAAGCCGTGAGAAATGTAAGCTAGACTCAGCCAAAAGATGCCTGGAACTCCAGCAACATTTGGCTTAACAAAGATTTCTATAGTAAACAGCGACCTTTGCCCTGTAACAGATACATTTCAATGAGACGGTCAGTGACTGGTCCGTCAATATATTGAGCATTGATTAAAAAAAAACGGAATGGAGTCTGCAATAGGCCCTTAAGAGCCTGCTTCACATCCACTACCTGTTTCTGCAGATTGAGGAAGAACATCTGAGACCGGAGCTCTCTGACACACGGGTAATTGGCACAAAGGGTTTAACTGGAAATTAAAAGTATCAATAAGATTAGAGTCTGGAATTAAAGCAAGAAAGTGGAGTGAAGAGATTTACAAGGTAATGTACCTGGCTTCTGTCTCGCTTTCCAACAGGAGGCCGCCAAAAGCTAAAAGGACAAAACAGAGTATCATCACTAGGTGCAAAATGATGATGATGATGATACCACATGAGTTGTGTTTTCAGTTGAATTATTTTTCATCAGTATATCTTACTCTCTCTGGTAAGGATCTTGGGAGTATTGTCTCAGCCTCTCTACAAACACCGGCATGCCCTGGCTCTGTAAAACACAAATCAAACATGCATAGTAGTCAGACACAAAGACCTTAACAAATGTGTCCTACGGCAGAGGAAGATGTTTGCTTTAACCTTGCTGGGGAGCCTCCTCCTGTCCCTCCTCATGCAGCAGGCGGCAGAGCCAGGCACTCGCTTCAGGCGTGAGTGATACCGATACCCTGCAACCACAAGACGCACAGTTACCTTCCTTTGTCGCAAAATCATGTTTAGTACATCATCAATGTTAGTTATAATGTGTCTAAAGCACAAAAAGGCAGTGCATACCTCTCTGAGGGGGCCTTGCAGGTTGCAGGAAGGTGGGGGGGGGCCGGTTGTCCAGCTGGCCGTCCGAGTCCCAGCCGGGCAGCAGTCCGGCTACACTGGTCCCGACCCCGCAGTCCCCCTCGAAGAACCAGTCGCTCTGCTCGTCATCGCCTGTACACGGGACAGGGAGGAAGTCACTTCGGTTAGCATGATGCTGCTGCAGCCTGATGCTAACTAGCATATTTGTACAAATGTAAAACCATTGCAGATTTCATTAATATGCCTTAGCAACCCCTGCTTTGTCCAAAAAGCAAGTAACTTTGTTGAACCTTTAACTAGATTACTGATTGAGGATAATGTTGGAAAAAAGGAGGTTCATATTTAACCTTTGTTCTCACAATGCATTCAATTGGGGGAAAAAACACTTGAAATGGAGGATGAGCTATATAGGGGTATATCTGAGGGCTATAGTTTAGAAGAAGCTGTTGTTTGGTGATCCTAGGAGTGGAGATTGGACTGACGGATCAGTGCGTCAATAATGACTGGATATCTTTTAGGGTAAACCCCTTTAACTACACTCTACCAACCGGACAACACCGGTCTTGTCCCCAGACGGCGAGCTCTTCTCAGACCTGTCAGTCAGCAAAGAGCACGCAGGAAGCATGCCTCTCACAGTCAAGGTGTAGTGACAACTGTTAAATCAGAGGCCGCCTGGCCCCACCACAGCTAATGAGATTAGCAAAGGCTTCAGCGCTCATTAACACGACATGACAACGTCTTATTAGAGTCGCCTGGGTGCCCAGCAACCAGCCCATTGTATCGAAACCTCCCTCTCAAGCCCCAGCATTCCCTCAGAGGGTATCTATCGTCCAAATCTGACAACTCTTCATTTTTCTTTTCCTAGATCATGAACGTTTCATCTGTGAGCTCCAAATACATTAAATCAAAGCAGTTACTTGATTGAACCTTGCTGTTCAATTGTTCCCACCATACATTCAAATGAGGATTTCTTTGAGTACCTTGTCTTCCCTCATCATTGGTGAAGAGGCCAGGGTCACTGCTGCATGTGCTGCTGGTTTCCCTGCAAGAAAAGAAGAGAAACATCACATGTGAATGATCAGCTGTTTCTTTAATATCAGTGACATTTGAGGATGGAGGACCCTGTTTTGATTTGTCATTTGAAACCTGGTGGGTTCTTTAGGTCAGACAGGGTTTAAGCGTTTGAAACGTGAACAATGTGAATCAGAAATGTACATGCCCCTGTGATGTGGATGTTTAACATTCACTTATACAAAATAATGGAGAAGTCAGAATCTAGAGGTCGACATAAATGTAAATGACAGAAAAAGACAGAGCGTGCCGTGTTCTCCCTCGTTGCGATAGCGAACACAAAGGCATGAGGAGAGGCTCTGATCGAAGCCACTGAGTGACATGCACAATCTAATTGAATATCCTCCGCTGTCAGCTCCAATCTAATCTGGCCGGCGTTGTGGAGGATGACAGGAGAGCGAAACACATTCCCCTGCCCGCCCCTCCCTCTGGGTGTGCCCCACACACAGCGCGGCCCACAGACATGCTGCTTCCTCACAACAACTGGCCAACATCTGCTGTGTGGGCTGCCACCGCTCGCCCCCCCTCTGCTCCCTCACTGCTCCTCTCCACACCCCCAGGCCAACCCCTGTTACAGTGCCTCCACGCCCTCTGCTACCCCAGACCACCCTGGGTTTCCCTGCCTTTCTCACACCTCAGCCACCTTGAACTGGGACCTCCAGACACCCCAAGGTCAGCGGGGGAATAAGAGGAGGGGTGGAGGGGACAAAGATGGAGGGACAAATAAAGGATTTCCTCTCCCTGAAACATAACTGTTCCAATGCTGTCATTGCTTACTTCTAACAATCATATGTCAACAGTTTTCTATTTCCAAAAGCTTGTTTCTGAATCGAAAGAGAAATCACATCAATCCATCTTGGTGTGACTGAGGACCTGTATTCATTTATAATGAATCATTCTGATACAGTTTAGGTTGCACTGCTGCCATAAATGCTCACTAATGTGTATCGATCCGCAGGTGAAAATAGTTCCAACCAAATGTACTTTTTTTTCACAACATATAAAACAACAAAAAACTGCTGTGGCCAGCTATCTTTTTGAAATCTCTTAGCCATTTAAAAAAAGATGCAAATATGTATTTATTTCAGGACAATGATATAATATCAACATTCCTGTAGATGTACAGCATCAGTGTAAGACATCCAGCTAATAATGAACTGTTTTCCTTTTATATCTTGTGTATTTTTGAAAATTATTTTGCTAGATTTTTGTCTTTTTTAGGAAGAAAAAACTATTCTGTGACATTTGTAGACTAGAAGAAAGGTATATATCCCAGCTATACATTTTAATAACGACTTTATGAGAGGGCTGATGATTTTGATTGCCTTGCATTTTGCTTCCTGTTCTTCATCGCTGACCTTGCTCATAGCAGAAAGCTGGAGGGTCAGATATGCGCTGATACCGTGCTTCCCCATATTGCAGAGGCCTTTAAGTGAAGCAGGATCAGAGATGGTCCGTCCAGCCTGCGCGTCCTCCTGGCCAGATGGTCGCGCACCATCTTCTCTCACATCTACAAGAAGCAGATGTGAGAGGGAGCAGGCCTCTCCGGGGAATCTGGAGGAAGCCGGGGCGTAGCAGTCCTGGACTGTCCACCCCCCCTCCCCCTCAGCCCATCTCTCCAGACTGACTCCCCAGGCCTCTGCTCAGCTGTACCCCACCTCTGGACACACTGGCAGACATCTGGAGCACACAACCCTCCAACATCAGTAGAGGACACAGCCACAAGCTCTACAAAAACAACCATTTTGGATTTGATGCTTCATTACACAACCTTTATTACAATAAGTGATGATCAACCAGCAGTGTGGTGTCTTCTTCCATATAGGTAACCATCTTAGTAAAGTGTTTTCATCTTATTGAAGGGATTTTGTTCAAAGTTTAAGAAGAGTCACAGGTATAAACAATTAATTAAAGACACCCATTAAGTATTTATCCGTATTAAAGGTGTAATGTGATGTCGCTTGGAGCAGCACAGGGCCGATGTGTGAGACCGTTTTCATTAAGCACTGCCTAATTAATGCAATGAATAATTGAGACCCCCATTTTTCTTGGGACCAAAAGAAACACCTCTTCTTTTCTCAGCAGTGACCTTTGTCGAGAAAAGTTGACAAACATTTGGGGCAAACTTGGTCTTTGGCTGACACACAAAAAACCACCTCCCCCAGTCTTTAAGTATTCTATCTTGGATTAGGTGCTATAAAGCAAATAAGTCTTAATTACATAAAGTGCCATATGTCCATGGTGAGACAAAGGCAAGGGCAAAGACAAAAACTGCACTGCTGTGTTTTTAGAAGTGAACTTAAGTCCCCACATGGCCCTATTGTCTCTATACAAGCTGGAGAGGTGAAGCAAAACACAGTATCCAGATGAGCACTAATCATTAGGATATAATCCTCAACTCCTGGGAGAGGCAGAGCAGTTTGCACAGAGATTACAGGCTAGCCGCCATTTATTGAGCTCGGGCTCATTCTGCAGAGGAATAAAGAAGAGGCAGAGACGGGGG